GACGTATAGTTTTTCTGAATTTGACCTTAGTTTTTTATCATAATGAAGCCATTGAACAAAACCGTGAAGAAATTGAACATGAATTTTCAAAAGTGTATGTGCTCATTTTCTATATTTAATTCAGACTTTTTCGCCTTCAGAATAGGAAAAGCTGTCATTTAATGAGGGCTATCGTTTTTATACTTAACAGTTGGCACCCCTGGCGATTGACAGGACCTTACTCTCCAGTTGCGCCATCTTGATGAGTGCAAATGCGATAGTCCTCCTACCACTTTAGCACTCACCAGATGGTGCCACTGTCTTCGCTACTAGCAAGTGACAGGACCTTACTCTACAGTGGCGCAAACTGGTGAGCGCTAAAACGATAGCCCTCATTAAAACAGTCTGGCTGTTTTATTTTTCCTAAACCACAGTTCCGGCTTTGGCTTCCAACACTTTTGCCGCCGGGATCAATTCACTTATCGCAGAATATTAACGCTGTAAAAATTTTCACTCTTTCGAATTATTTCTTAAAAGGCCCGTTAAGCAGTTCCATTGAATTTCGCAGTTTCAGCGGGTAAAGTAAAAAACTAAATTAAAACTAAACTAAACTAAATGGCGTCTGGCAGTTAGCGAACAGCTTTAAATTTAAAGTTTTCCATTTTTACCGACTGTTTTTGAGTAAAAAAGTTAAGTTGACTTTTTAATATTTTTTTTTCCATTTAATCTGATTATGCAACATTGACTTTAACTTTAATTTGATTTGATTATGCAGTATTATTGTAATTGATATTTTATTTTTAATTTAATTTGTACACCGCAAAGGTACGACATGTTGATACCATTTTAAATGCTGACTTAACACCTTATGTACCTACACAATATGTTTGAACAAATAAATGTATCTTTATCTTTATCTTTATCTTTATCGTTGAGTCATATTATCAACAATAATTAGTGCTCTTTGCTGCTTCTCATGGCGAAAAAGCAATTTTTTCTTAAATATTTCATCTTTCTTTCTTTTATTTCTTCTGGGTCCAAATCTCCTTTATCTGGGAAGAGCTAGTAGGTATATCATGTACAGTCAGTGTCAAATAGTTTGTGGTACCTAAAGTGCCCAAAAAGTGAGAGCACAAACTTATTCCAATTGTTGTTATCTTACTTTGCGTTTTTGGCTACTTTCGAGTGTCACAAAAAATTAGACGCTGCAGTTACTTTTTTATGTTTTAAAAATTTGACGCAGACTGTATTCTGTAATGTAAGCTTGTGATGGATAAACACCGTATTAATATTATTAATATCACTCTCTTTGTGATCCATACAGAATGCACACCGCCATTGTTATTCAGTGACGAAGCGCCGCGGCGCACCTTGACCGGCGAGTTGGCACGCACGTCGATGACAGATCACTTATCTCATCTTTTTTCCCTTCTTCTGACCAAAAACAATGTGCATCGCACGCGCTCGTGGAAAGGCTCGACGAAATGTTACACCAATAAGGCTGAGTTGCACCATCTTATTAAACTTTGACTTTAACAAACGTCAAAAATCTGTCAATCTCTATACAGAAAACACCGGTTATTGTTAAAGTGAGATGACTAAGATTGTTGGTTTGTAACAATACGACGAGCGTTAGCGTTTGGTTTGTGTCAGGGATGCACTAGAACATTCATAGAGCGGCCGCAATTTAATGCTCTACTCTATACTCACCTTAAAGGACGTAGCACACTTATCAACCCGGAAAGGGATCGTAACGTGTCAACTCGAGGCTGTCAGTATTCTTTGTATAAAACTCTATATTGCAACGCACACTTATTCGTAACGTAAACGCCTTGCCTCGCGGTTGACAGCGCGCGAAAGGCAATGACAACTCGCGAAAGGCGACACGGTGATCCCTTTCCGAGTTGATAAGTCTGCTATGACCTTTACGCATACCGCCAGTCTTACTCGGTGACGATGCGCCGGCGCACCTTGACCGGGACTTGGCACGCGCGCCGGTGACTGATCGCTTTGGACCGCGCATTCATTCGACTGTTTTTGTTTTCACTTGCACTCTCTACGATCGATGTGCTTGCGTGTTGTTGGTAGAAAAAAAAAACCATTTACGTAGCCTGTAAGGGTCATCATTTCAGCCTCAGGACGTCCACACACAACACAGACCATGTTCAGCAGTGGATGATTGATGATTTTGATTTATAGATTGGCCAATTGGTAACAAAATGGCGAATTCTTAAAAATGTAAGCAGCAAAAAACAGCATGTACTTTCAGTAACATTTACCAGTGCATTTTTTTCTTGTATTCTGTACTCGACTCTGAACTTCCCCTTAATTAAAGGCTTGCAACTTTTGCACACCGTGACTAAAAACATGGCTCAGTCGTTCTACAACTCAGCATACTCGCAAAGAATATTTGCCATAAAAAAATAGGTCGATTCGAGCGTGTGGCCTAACAATTGAAGACACAAAAAAAAAATTGTTTCATTTAACTTTGGACCCGTTAAACCTTGCCTTTTGATTTATTTATTTTATTTATTTATTTTATTTNCTAAATATATAAAAGGAGAAACTGACTGACTGACTGACAGATCAACGCACAGCCTAAACGGCTAAACGTAGGCACTTGAAATTTGGAAGGGACGTAGTTTAGGTACCGTACAGGTGCACTAAGAAAGGAATTCCCGAAATTCCCACGGGAACGGGAATTAGCGGAAAAATCCTTTTGTATGAAAAATCTAAACCGCTTAAGTTTGATGCTTGAAATTTGGTGTGTAGGCTCCAGACATCAGTATGGAGCAGAATCAGCGCAATAAAAAAATAGCGCAATATTTTGTTGCAATTTCTTACAAAACTTGCGCGCAAAAAGCAAATCTAGTATGTAAATCGTCAAACTTCTAACGCTCGTAACTCAGTTCAGACTGAGTTTAGAGGTAAACATGTCATAGTAAGTTTGGTTTATTACACTATTTTGTAATCACAAAACAAAGTTTGGTCGATGGCCGCGCGAAAAAAAAAAGACGCCACCTTCCATACAAAATCTGGCATTGCCATTTGGAAGGGACGTAGTTTAGGTACCGTAGAGGTACTAAGAAAGGAATTCCCGAAATTACCACGGGAACGGGAATTAGCGGAAAAATCCTTTTGTATGAAAAATCTAAACCGCTTAAGTTAGATGCTTGAAATTTGGTGTGCAGGTACCTTAGTAAATTTAAAGCTTAGGTACAACAGGATATCGTAAAATTCCAACGGGAACGGGAGTTACCGGGAAAAAACATATGTATGAAAAAATCTAAACTGCGTAAGATGACGCTTGAAATTTGGCATGCAGGTACCTTAGTAAATTTAAAGCTTCGGTACAACAGGATATCGTAAAATTCCCACGGGAACGGGAGTTAGCGGGAAAAAACATATGTATGAAAAAATCTAAACTGCGTAAGATAGACGCTTGAAAAGACAATGCCGGAAATTGGTGTCTTTTTTTTTTCGCGCGGCCATCGACCAAACCTTGTTTTTTGATTACAAAATGGTGTAATAAACCAAACTTACTATGACATGTATACCTCTAAACTCAGTCTGAACTGAGTTACGAGCATTAGAAGTTTGATAATTTACATACTAGATTTGCTTTTTGCGCGCAAGTTTTGTAAGAAATTGCAACAAAATATTGCGCTATTTTTTTATTGCGCTGATTCTGCTCCATACTGATGTCTGGAGCCTATAATGGATAGTATTGTTTGTTTACACATACAATGTCACTATTTTGATGCAATTTCTTACAAAACTTGCGCGCAAAAAGCAAATCTAGTATTTTTTATTTATTTATTTTTTTTGGGAAACATACAGTTACAATATAATTTAAATTAGGTGCAGTAAAATAACAAATGAATGTATGAAAATCATCAAACTTCTAATGTTCGTAAATCAGGTCAGACTGAGTTTAGAGGTATACATGCCATAGTAAGTTTGGTTTATTACACTATTTTGTAATCAAAAAACAAAGTTTGGTCGATGGCCGCGCGAAAAAAAAAAGACGCCACCTTCCATACAAAATCTGGCATTGCCATTTGGCATGCAGGTACCTTAGTAAACTTAAAGCTTAGTTACAACAGGATATTGCAAAATTCCTACGGGAACGGGAGTTAACCGCTAAAGAAAGATGAAGGGGGTAAAACGGGATCCACGCGTACGAAGTCGCGGGCGGCCGCTAACTATCTATATAAATAAAAATGAATTGATGTTCGTTAGTCTGATTATAACTCGAGAACGACTGGGCCGATTGAGCTGATTTTGGTTTTAAAACGTTTGTCGTAGTCCAGGTCTAAACGATGAGTAAATACGCGCGCGATATTGTTTTTCTGTGACAGACAAAATTCCACGCGGGCGAAGCCGCGGGCGGAAAGCTAGTAGGTCTATAATTTTTTATATTAGATCCGTCACCACTTTTATGCACAGGCGTTACAAACGCAGTCTTCCAGGAAACTGGAACTGTGCCTTTACTTAAGGATCGTTTAAAAATAATACACAACGGAGAAACTAAATTACTTGCACACTGTCTAATAAAAGAGGGGGTTATGCTGTCGGGTCCAGCACCCTTATTCAGATTAATGGTTTTCAACAATATTTCGAGCTCATTTGAACTTATAATTATATCACTTAAATGGGAATTCTCATTATACTGATTTATGAGATTTGGAGAGCAGTTGGCTGCATTAGGGGCAAGAAAAGCCGATTGGAAATATTCAGCGAATAGGTTGCATACAGACACCCCCGTATCTCCGGTCCGATCCTCGTATTTCATCACTGAAGGTAGCGCGTGAGAGGGTCGGTTTAGCGACTTAGTGTAAGACCAGAACAAACGGGGGTTATCTACAACAGACTCTTCCACCTTACTTAAATACGATTGATAACATTGACTTTCTAATTTTATTGCTCGATCTCTAAGAAATGCGTAAGTTTCATAATCATATAGATTCCCATATTTTTTAAATTTCTTAAAATATTTAAATTTATCTTTGAGAACCTTTTTAAGCGCGGAGTCGTACCACAGTCGTACCAAACGGGGAAAGTGCAGCTGGAAACAATTTTATGGGGTATAAATGTGTCACGAAGATCAGTTAGAATGCTATAAAAATTACTAACACAGTCATCTATAGAACCACTCAATAGAATTTCATTCCAGTCTATTTTTGACAGTTTTGAGTTAATTTCATCATAATTTCCCTTTTTATAGTCAAACAGAGTACGCTTGTTTACAAAAAAACTAGGTATGTCAAGAGTCAATTCTATGCAGATTGATCTGTGATGGGAGTCGTCTGGAACAAGAGGATGGTCACTAGGCTGCACTATTACATGTTTGTTACAGAATACAAGGTCCAATAGCCTATCATGGATATTCAGTACATTATTGTATTGGTCAAGGTTACATTCAACAATTGTGTCCAAAAAACTAACCTGACATTCATTTAATGTGCCTTGAGGCTCCAGCAGTCCATTATCCTGTGGATTCCAAGTAATATTTGGCATATTGAAATCTCCTAGGACCATAAAAAGATCGGTCGGGGCGGAGAGAAAGCAGNGTTACCGTGAATACCAGCTTTGTACAGTTTCTCCAAGAGCAGTAGGTGGTCTATCCGATCAAATGCTTTACTAAAATCGGTAAATATGCAGTCTACCTGAGACCCTGAGTCCATAGTTGATGAGGTATAATCGTTAAAGACCAAAAGATTGGATACCGTGGATCGCCGACACAAAAATCCGTGTTGTTCCGGAGAAAAAGACGACTTTAAAGCAGCATAGACCTGACGATAAACAATCCTTTCAAATATTTTGGCAAAGATACACAGTTTGGATATAGGTCTATAATTTTTTATATTAGATCGGTCACCACTTTTATGCACAGGCGTTACAAACGCAGTCTTCCAGGAAACTGGAACTGTGCCTTCACTTAAGGATCGTTTAAAAATAATACACAACGGAGAAACTAAATTACTTGCACACTGTCTAATAAAAGAGGGGGTTATGCTGTCGGGTCCAGCACCCTTATTCAGATTAATGGTTTTCAACAATATTTCGATCTCATTTGGACTTATAATTATATTACTTAAATGGGAATTCTCATTATACTGATTTATGAGATTTGGAGAGCAGTTGGCTGCATTAGGGGCAAGAAAAGTCGATTGGAAATATTCAGCGAATAGGTTGCATACAGACACCCCCGTATCTCCGGTCCGATCCTCGTATTTCATCACTGAAGGTAGCGCGTGAGAGGGTCGGTTTAGCGACTTAGTGTAAGACCAGAACAAACGGGGGTTATCTACAACAGACTCTTCCACTTTACTTAAATACGATTGATAACATTGACTTTCTAATTTTATTGCTCGATCTCTAAGAAATGCGTAAGTTTCATAATCATATAGATTCCCATATTTTTTAAATTTCTTAAAATATTTAAATTTCTCTTTGAGAACCTTTTTAAGCGCGGAGTCGTACCAAACGGGGAAAGTGCAGCTGGAAACAATTTTATGGGGTATAAATGTGTCACGAAGATCAGTTAGAATGCTATAAAAATTACTAACACAGTCATCCATAGAACCACTCAATAGAATTTCATTCCAGTCTATTTTTGACAGTTTTGAGTTAATTTCATCATAATTTCCCTTTTTATAGTCAAACAGAGTACGCTTGTTTACAGTTAAAAAACTAGGTATGTCAAGAGTCAATTCTATGCAGATTGATCTGTGATGGGAATCTTCTGGAACAAGAGGATGGTCACTAGGCTGCACTATTACATGTTTGTTACAGAATACAAGGTCCAATAGCCTATCATGGATATTCAGTACATTATTGTATTGGTCAAGGTTACATTCAACAATTGTGTCCAAAAAACTAACCTGACATTCATTTAATGTGCCTTGAGGCTCCAGCAGTCCATTATCCTGTGGATTCCAAGTAATATTTGGCATATTGAAATCTCCTAGGACCATAAAAAGATCGGTCGGGGCGGAGAGAAAGCAGTCCCCGAGTTTACTCGTAAAATTATTGAGCTGAGTATTCATTGAATTGCCACCCTTCTGATTACATAAATATACTGTACACAAATGCAATGTCAACAAACCGCCTCCAGTGCGGAACGAGACGGTAACCCATACATCCTCTGCAGAGGAGTGCCAGGCTGGCTGCCCGGCGGCGGCGAGCTCCCGGCGCACGGCCAGGAGCACGCCGCCGCCGAGCCGCTGCCCTGTGGACTGGTAGTCGCGGTCGCGCCGCCATACTAAGTACCGCTCGTCAAAAAGCTCACTGTCAGCGATGCCATCCAATAACCAAGTTTCCGTTATTGATATTATGTCAAAACAATTCAAAGCCACGTTTCTTTTAAACAAATTGACCTTCGTGCGCAGCCCCCGGGCATTCTGATAAAAAATATTAATAGCGAAATGTATCATAAACAATAACTGCGTTGGATTTAATGGTGGTTATGTATTTGGTCTGGAATGTACAATATTTACACATGGAAAACGGGTGATAAGTCTCTCTAAAGTGAGATACAAGCCAATCTATTGGTATTATGACGGTCAAAATCAACTGAGGTAAAATAAATAACCGATATATTGCGAGCATCAACAGCAGATAAACAAAATAGTACATCATTTTACTTGTGAGAAAAATATTTCGTGCCATCTCGTGTGAGTTACAATGAAACATAGACTTTAAATACATACGTTTACGGCAGTTATTAATAGCATAGGAACATTCACTAACGACCGCCGTGAGCAGGTAGCGAGTTCCGATAAGCAATACAAAAGAGTCAGGGCCTCCCACACCGCGGGCGCAACAACTATAATATTCACACTTAAAAAATAATCTTAAGAAATATTTAACCATGGTATACAGAGAGGGAAATTTCAAGCAAACAATTATTATTATGTGAATTTTAAAAGGTCCTTCTCTGATTTTATCCGGAACGTCGGCGATGTATCGGATTTTCTGACTAAAATCTTGCAATGTTTTATCCAAACGTATTTGTAGTTTTTTTCTTTGGCAAGATTTTTTGCTTTCTTAAGGAGACCTTTGTTATATAACGTAAGATGGTCGTTAATGTAAACATTGCCACCGCCGCTGTACCCCAGCTGAGAAGCAGGGAGTTCCCTGTGTTGCCGTGCCGCTGATATAAACTCCTCCTTACTGTACCGGTTATGAAGTGACATAATAATGGACTTCTCAGAGTCCGACTTGAGGCTCGGGACCCGGGCAATGTAATTGATGTCCTCTTTACGTACGGGGCATTTTATGATATTGCCGATTAGGCCCACGATATCATAGAGGTTCTCAGTCTTTTTAAGTGGAACCCCTCTTATTTCAACATTATTAGCCCGTGCCCATTGCTCTTTGTCCTGAAGGTCTTCCTTGAATTTGTTCAAGTCCGCTGCCATAGTATGAATCAAGTTAGTATGCTCCTCAACTTGCACAATTCTGCCCTCCAACGATTTTGCTGTCGCAGATAGCTGATCTGCCGTTTCATGAGCGAATTCAATTGAGCTCTTGAGGTTTGACATTTCCAACTTTATGGTCTTCACATCTTCAACAAGTGCCGCTAAAGGGGTAAGTTGCTTCGTGATGTTCGCAAGAGCAATCCGTATTTCGCCAATTTGCACTGCAATATCAGGATTGATTTTTGACGCAGTTGCAGGAGACTGGGTATTCTTACAATCGTTGCAGCGCCAGGCGGCCTTCCGATCGCCGAGTTTGCGAAAATTGGTCTCCGTGATGCCAGCACAGGGAAAGTCGAATTGGCGTTTGCATGAACTACACGCCGGACCATCCGACACGTTACTTCCACACCTTGCACATGTGAACATTTTCACTAAAAATTATATTATGAGGATTATAATATACGTAGTGCAGTAGTGCGGCCCCGCGGTTGAGTATCACTGGATGACCGATAGAACAACGAGCGCGTATTCCCCCGATCGCGTTCGAACGACGACTGAAAAGGTAAACAATGTAATCGTACCGGGTCCCTGGGCGCCTGCGGCGTGTGTTGTTCAGGCGGGGCTTCGGCGTGGCGGTGGCGGTGGCGGTGGCGGTGGCGCGGCGGCGTGCGCGGCGGCGGCGGCGTCAGCGAGCGCGCGCCGCTGCCGCCCGGCGACGCGCTCGAACCCGCCTCGGCCGCTTCGTCCGCGTCTAACCCGTCCGCTCCGCCGCTGAGGACATAGGAGCAACGGTTAAAGACACTGTTCGCACTCGACGGTTTATGATATATTTGTTATGGTTAATGTGATAAACTGAAAATTATGAATAATAACTGGTTATTATGAATAATTACCGACAGTCGCGGTAAAAGTGATAACATTTAACAGTGATTATTTAATAATTCAACCTCAATACTAACAAATATCTTAGAAGAGAACAACATCTTGTGTACGTGCTCTTGTACAGCCAACATTTTTGAACGTTTTGATATCATATATTAATATAATTTGGCATAATGAGTTTGGAATATTTCTTGCATAATATAAATTTTCCATGATGCCCATAACATAATGTTTTGATCAAAAGTGAAAAATAGAGGGCCACCCCTAAGCCGCCTATTTAGTTTTATACACACATAAATTAATGACCTCGTATTGATCACATTTACCAAATCATGCGATAATTATACATAATAACCGGCGATTATTCATCATTTTCACATTTATCACATTGACCGTAACATATTCACATTGCTACGTGGTGTTCGCGAGAAGAGCGACTCGGCTGATGCAATAATAGTCCAGTCATTTAAGCTTAAATTAGGTAAGAATCTCGGAATTAGAGATACCCAGCTGTAAGTCTGTAAATACTTGTATATTGACACCCTAAAAGTTGTCTCAAAACCTACATATGGTAGGGTGTAAGCAACTATTAAATTTTAAGGTCAAAGGTCACAAAAATCGGTTTTTTGAGCTTTTTTTGGAAATATCTCATTTCCTATGGGTTTTTTGCTATTTGTATTTATTATCAATATTGTAGAATACTAAATTCTCTACAAATTTTGTTTAAAAAATTTTTTTATACGGTGAACCGTTTTCGAGATAGAGGGCGGAGAGCGCGCGGTCACTGCATCACTTCAGGTCAACTTAAGCGGTTTAGGTTTTTCATACAAAAGGATTTTCCCGCTAATTTTAAGTTTAATGTTTTGTTTTGTTTATTTAAAGCCTATTTTGTCATTTTAAAATTGATTATTTTGTTTTAAGATACTGGGCAATTACTGTGCTTTGATGTGGGCAATTAGTGTAAGTAATGGGCAATGACTGTACTTTTTGGAGGATTTTAAATTTATTTCAATATTTTCTAAGTTACGTAAGTTTTAACTAAAAACTGTTAATATTCTGTTTAACAGTTTATTGAGTTATAAGAAAAAAGTCATAAATGGTCTATAATTAAAATACTTTCTTTAATTTTTCATCTCAATGTGTTTGAAATCTTTAAGTGGGCAATAGCTATACGGTTTACCCTACCTGCCAATAATATTTTTTGATAGTCATCAAAAACATTTTAACTTATCCTAAACAGCTATTTCAACATGTCAAAAAAATCTACAGCCTAAGCGGAAACTTCAGTAAAATCAACAATTTGTTTCAGTACCAAAAATCACGGTAGATCACGGATATTTTTCACGTGACAACAAAATCGGTTTTACGATTGCCGACATAGTTTCCCTGCGTTTGCTGGGGGCCGTAAAACAGTTACGGGCTACATGCCGAAATGTTCGTTCCACGGTTATTGGGATGTGTACAGATTTTACGTAACGAAAATTGATACAGTTACTTAGTTGCAGTTAAACACAGGACGTCTTTGTGGAAATCCTTGGGGGAGGCCTTTGTCCAGCAGTGGACGACATTCGGTTGAATCAAACGATCATAAAACATAAGAGTAGCACAAGAAAGCATTTAGAAATATTAAATAGTGGTGTAATGATGTCAGGACATAATGTCATGCTCGTGACCCAATGTGTTAAAGACCACGATGCTAGTTTTCAGTGTCAAAAAAGATAGTTCTTCTTATAGAGTAAATACTTTCTAGCGTCTAAATAATGTGTCATTCCATCTTGTTGTGTTTGTCATACGAGGCGTTCGTTCGCTTTAGCCGAAAGACGTCCACACTAGGTGGACCAACAATCTGGTGAAGTTCGCGGAAAGTGCCTGGATGCGAGCGGCGCGGGACTGTCTAATGTTGTAATTTTAATGTCTAATTTTGACGTAGAAAGTACCTATGTCACCAGCTGTTCCAGCCTACACTCTAAAACCTTTAAACATTCCAGGGCATCTAAGTAAGAAGTAAGAAATATACTCCAATTTAGTATCTCGTTACGCGTGGTTCCCAAAGTTGGGCGTAACGACACCGACGAGTCCCAAAGGATGGGCTGGATTGGGGTCATTTTAACAGACGACAGCACATCAAGTTGTACCTACATTTTGTTGCGAAATCGACCCTATTACAACTGTATAGATGTCACGGTGATGTAGTCTGAAGCAGTTGATCGCTCTTTTAATTCTTGCGAAGTGTGAACTGGGGAACGGCTGTCAAATAACAACTTTACTTAAACTTTTTCGAATATTTACTGTGTCAAAGAATCTTAAGTTGGTCGAGTAGGAGTTTTTTATGCGTGAAGACAATGTCTCTTACAAAAGTTTGATATGTTTTCGTTTTTTTAAGCAGGCGCAAAGGAATCGTTGATATTTTTGTTTATTTTTACATCATAGATAGGAATAGAAAACCGTGGCCAAAGCATCCATGTTCTCACATTTATTTAAGCTATATTGATGATTTTTTTTATAGTTGTATTTTTTTAGAAGTTTGAAAACTTTGTTGATGCCTTGAAAATATTTAATTGAATCATTATTATGTTCTGAAGTGAATCAACTTGTGTGCTCCATCTGTAAATTGCACCCAGAACTCTTCATAAAAAGACCGACTCTATTTATAACTTTTACAGACATGTTGGTACTTTAATGGTATTCAGTATGCACCATTTTTAGCAAAATTTTCTGTCACAAAAGACTATTACTTAAATCTATTACATTATTAATGCAGCAGAATACAGGGTTCATTATCAAATATTAATCCATCCCACGGATACAACGCAGTTGTGGTTTCCATTTTGACAGCTACCGAGATTAGAAACAGGTTTTAATGATTAATGTACAGTTGACAGCAGATCGAGCTACTACAAAACGTTCAATTTCCCCAATTTCAACTTTATACCTTTAGTGGAAGGCTCAAAATCGATTGCGGATAGCCCTTTAGTATTGTTGATGGAACAATGTTGCGATCAAATTATTTAATAAACAAGCTACCTCGCTGACAAGGCCTGTAGGCAGATAATCTGATCAAAAGGCAGTGGAAATATAGTTCCCACCATATTTTAAACCTTAATCACTTGTTTTAAAGTTTAAAAATTCCCGGTTCCCACCAAAGCGGAGCG